TACTATATATTTACACTATATTATAATTTTCTGCTTCTCGCTAATATTTATAATGTCCTTGTCCTTAAAATTAACTTTGCATTGTAATGTCCTGCTCCTCACTATAGTTTTAGCTTGAATTCTCATGTCCTGGTCCTTACCATAGTGTTGAAGCAGGAAATAGATATCACGATTGTATTAAGGCTCCAAACGATTTTCTTGTTTATGTTTATATACCACCCAGTTCATGTGTCAATTCTCATATGTCAACTGTTCATATGTCAACTGTTCATGTGTCAACTGTTCATATGTCAACTGTTCATATGCCAACTGTTCCCATCTCAACTGTTTATATCTCAAATGCTCGAATCTTAACTGTTCATATCTCAGCATAAATTTATCAGCAACAGATCTAATCAAATAATGACAAGAATCCATCTGTGTCAAATCTAAAATCAATTAATGACCAGAATTCATCTGTGTCAGATCTAATCAAATAATGACAAGAATTCATCTGTGTCAGATCTAATCAAATAATGACAAGAATTTATTTGTTTCAGATCTAATCAAATAATGACAAGAGTATCAATGACCGATGTGACAGCGTAAAACAGCAACATACTAACATGACATATCACCTCACTAAAATGACGTATCACAGCACTAACACCACATATCACCTCACTAAAATGATGTATCACAGCACTAAAATGACATATCACCTCACTAAAATGACATATCACATGACTAACATGACATATCACCACACTAACATGACATATCACCTCACTAACATGACATATCACCACACTAACATGACATATCACCTGAATAACACGACATATCACCACACTAACATGACAGATCAGCTCAATAACATGACATATCACAGCACTAACATGACAGATCAGCTCACTAACATGACATCACCGCACTAAAATTACGTATCACAGCACTAAAATGACATATCATCTCACTAAAATGACATATCACATGACTAACATGACATATCTTCGAACTAACATGACATATCACCACACTAACATGACATATCACCTCACTAACATGACATATCACCACACTAACATGACATATCACCTCACTAAAATGACATATCACCTGAATAACACGACATATCACCTCACTAAAATGACATATCACCTGAATAACACGACATATCACCACACTAACATGACAGATCAGCTCACTAACATGACATATCACAGCACTAACATGACAGATCAGCTCACTAACATCACATATCCCCTAATTAACATGACATATCACCTCACTAACATGACATATGACCGCACTAACGTGACAGATCACTCACTAACATGACAAGACAGCACTAATATGACAGATCACTCACTAACATGACATATGACCGCACTAACGTGACAGATCACTCACTAACATGACATATGACCACACTAACGTGACAGATCACTCACTAACATGACATATGACCGCACTAACGTGACAGATCACTCACTAACATGACATATGACCACACTAACGTGACAGATCAATAAAACTTGTACTAAAATGTCTCCTCAATTTTTTTTTTACGGATGGTCAAAATTTGGTCGATATCGTCGGGAAAAATGTCTAATTTCCATCATTTTGTCCAGAGGTTCTCACAAAATATCCTTCCGCTCATTAGTTTGTTTAGGACCGAAAATGGCTTGAACAAAATGACTTGATTATTCACAGAAGACGAAAGTCAGTGGATTAAAAAAAAAACTCTACAACCTGAATGAGGTCATCAGTAAAGCTTGTCATCTTTTGCTTACACGTAACACCACCTGTATGAGTTCAGCAGTAAAGCTTGTCACCTTTTGCCTACCCGTAACACCACCTGAATGAGATTAGCAGTAAAGCTTGTCACCTTTTGCCTACACGTAACACCGCCTGCATGAGGTCAGCAGTAAAGCTTGTCACCTTTTTCCTACCCGTAACACAACCTGCATGAGGTCAGAAGTAAAGCTTATCACCTTTTGCCGACTCGTAACACCACCTGTACGAGGTCAGCAGTAAAGCTTGTCACCCTTTTCCTACCCGTAACACCACCTGAATGAGGTCAGCAGTAAGGCTTGTCACCTTTTTCCTACACGTAACACGTAGCAGTGGTTGGGGTGGTGGGGACATCTCACACAACACGTTCTGATTCAATCCTATGCCATCCTGACAGACACAATATAGGATCGCGCAGATCAGCATCTCCTCGTGAATGACGTGACATGTAAAGGCGGGTGAAAGATTAACTGCACCTTTTGACAATGACCATCTTGATTGTTCAACCCTATCACATGCAACGGCGTATATCACCCCCCTCCATACACATACATCCGCATTCAATTATCTCCCTCACATGGTTAACCATCCACTCGTGATATCTCCCTTACACGCTAGCCACGCATTCACACGCCGTGCAAGACACTGTCTCGGTCCATTCAGACACGAGTACCCAAACAGCGTTGCTGTCTTTCAACGTGTCCCGTCTCGTGCAACAACCCCCACCCCCCCCCCCCCCCCCCCCCACCCCCCCCCCCCCCCCCCCCCCCCCCCCCCCCCCCCCCCCCCCCCCCCCCC